ATGCAACGCATTGCTGGTGATCAAGCAAACCAGCGTCCCGCTCATTGTGGTGATCAACTCAAGCGAAACGAACATTGACTTTTTTGTCGAAAACATCCCAGACGCTTGTTGTTTAAGAACGAAAAACGAGATTTATTGTGACTTTTGTTTCATTGAGCTTGAATTTCGCCTGATTTACCTTTGCTCTGGGAGTAAAAGCCAGGCGGAAGCCCAAATATGAGACAAGATATGGCCGATTCTTCAGGAACGACGGTGAGTTTATATAATTAGTTTATATAGAGGTTTCATAAAACCATCTAGCTCTACGTCCATGCTTAAATGTTTATAAGTCTATAGCCATCGTTCAATCAAGTCATATTCAAGCCTGCAAACATCTGTCACTCCCTGACGTTTTTGTCAGACGCTTTGCGCACAAAGTTTGACGTCTGTTTATAAGTTTTCAAGAAGTATGGACCAATCAGAATCATGATAAGCTGATCGGTTATAAGAGGACAGACGTACAGATGACGTCGACTGTAATAACGTTTTTGCTTTGTTTGAGTAGGTCACTCTTTGCTGGTGGGTTTTTCAGTAAACTATAAAAGCCGATGCTCTGCCGATTTTCTTTGTGTTCCAGCGAACAAAAACGAACTGTTGTAGAGCTGGTCGCATCAATCGAGATGGATACGATAAGTCTTTACTCTTTTACTCAGATATCTAAAGCAGTATTATATCGGGCCTCCCACGCGCGCGAAGCGCGCGTGGGGCAGAGCCCCATACCCCTGGAATATGCTCAACCTCTTTTTGTTTGCATTGGTTGTCACGTGACTGACCGAGCGTACGTACGTACGTGCCTAAGGGAGGGGTGACTCAGGCGAGTCTTGGCAAATGCAAATATTTTATGTTGTCACTAATATTACGAGCTTGGGAGCTCCGCTTTTAGGCTTGGCTAAATCTATATATTTCACTTTACGAACCCGATGTCTCTAACATTAAAATACAAGTCAGCTTAAATCATCTAAGAGAAAAAAATTACTCCAACGTACTGAAGCGTTTGCTGTAAAGTAAAGCCTCAATATCATACTTGAGTTATCCGAGCGTCACTGGAGGCTTTTCCATCAAATAGCAAACAAGGTAAAGTTAATACAACACGCGTGGATAAATCTACAACACGAAGGCCTATAAAGATCCACAGGAAGTATCAAGTGACGACGTCTTTTGAGAAGAAGCCTTTTACTTTCTTGCTTTATGTCCCTTTGAAGAAAGCATAAGCAATAGGGTTTATTTCAGAGTTAATAACTTGCGGGGGTACTTTGTAATGAAAATCGTAACACGATGAATGACCGGTTAAAAGTAATAGTTAGTTGCTAAAGTGATAGCAAAACCTGAACGTTCAGTTTCACTTTAGCATCTAGTGTGTTTAACTTCTTGGACAAACTACAGAGGCACAGTGACTGTCCAATATTTAGAATATTAACATCGCAAAATAGAGCAAGTAAGATATGTATTAGTGAAAAGTTGCCCCCTAACGAAAACACATTTCAAATAACAATAATTGCAATATCATGGAACACTCATTGTTATGCAAAACTCGCCCTTTTTTACTATGATTGACGTTACGACAAAAATTCTTAATAGTTTTGACATTTTATGATAGCCTACTCTGGGGCCTTAAGTCGTCGTAACTTTGGGTAACTTCAGGCGATTTTAAGGCAACTTAAGGCGACTCATCATCATCATCTCTTTTATTTGCCTTATATTAACAATAAAAAAATATTTAATTACAACGATAACAGTTAGAAGGCGAGGAGACCCAAGAAGCCACCAGGCTCATGGAAGAGCCACCTCACTTACAATAATAAATCAAGTAAAGAAAAAGTGCTGCGAATGTGCAGCTTGGCCAATTCAGTGATTATTTAAGTAAAAACTCTTGCAAATTCGTTTTAAAGCTGAGAAAGTTTGACGAACGAGTGACTGAAATAGCGAGAAAGTTCCACATTTTAAGGCAACATAAGTAAACACAATAGTCATTTTGGTTACTTGTGTATACTCATAAGTCACCATAGTCTAAAATATCCAGATTTCAAACCAATGTAGCTAAAAATGATCAGACAGATATACCACAACAGTTATCGTTAAATTATACAGTCAAAGCTAATGAATAAATAGCCAGGAAAAAATTATGGGTTATACGCCCAACGTCAAACAAACCTATCAAAGATATACAAATAAAGACACACATTTTTAATTTAAGAAAAGAGGCATGATTTACATAAAACTATCAATATATTTCCCACATAATTGATTAAAAATAGCTTGATTATTTAATTATTTCAAAAAGCCTCACAAATTATATTAAAAAAAATTATCTCGGTAAACTTGTCTCCCATATTTTTGCCACTTGCACTCTCAATTTTGCATGAAAGCTTGGCAAGTCGCATGCCTTTCCAACAGCATCCAAGATTGCTCGGTCCTTTTCAGCGACCCAACCAATTTTTTGTTCTCCTGCCTCAGTTAGACAACACACTCCAATACCATACTGAGAACCATATGCTATGGTCCTTCTCCACTGTTTGCCGCGCATTTTAATTTACCTAATCATTCTAAGCAACATATGGCAATCTGCGGTCTTTCCTTACACTTAGGTAGCACGGAAAGCCGTAAAAATCTTGAACAAAAGCTCATCTTTCAAACCGGCAGTCTAAATCCCACAGGGATCAACGAACGCTTTTCATTCCACTAATTTATTCTTGTTTTTCTCGTTGCCATGTTCCCACCAATAACGTAGCTCCATTTTCTGCCTTTAAAAGCACACACAACCCACAATTCCTCTATTCGCTCCGACGAAGGGCTAACGCTCGAAACGTCAGCTTTTGTAATCGTTACGGTGGCCAATTTACCATTTCAACTTTGTTGATATATCCAAATTATTTCGTTACTCCCACCGACGCAGCCCCAAACAGTTTCTTTCGAAACTATCAGCCTTTATTCATTTGTAATTTA